CTGTGGCAGAACTGTGACGAAACAAACCTGGCGTGGGGGTGATGACGGACGAAAGGACAAGAGACAAGGCAAGCAGACAAGAACGACCCCGCACCAGACAAGGGGAAACGAGGACTATTTAAACACACGAGGAAGGGGAACCCCAGGTGCACACAATTGGTAATCAGGACATGACGAGACACCAGACGTGACAAAACAAGGCTTAAAATGACCAAAGAAAATACACCAAAATACAAAAACCAAGGCTAAATTGACCAAATATACACCAAAAAGCAAAAACAAGACTTATAATTATCAAAAAATGCAGCAAAAAAGCAAAACAATTTTGCTAAAAATACCAGAACCTGTACTTAACTGTGACCCAATAAATGTAATTTTTTATACTTTTGATCCACTCCGGTTTATTCTCAGGTTTCCAACTAAAGAATCGGGCTAACATTAGTACACCAAAAAAGCAAAAACACGGCTTAAAATGACCAAAAGAAATACACCAAAATACAAAAACCAAGGCTAAATTGACCAAATATACACCAAAAAGCAAAAACAAGACTTACAATTATCAAAAAATGCATCAAAAAAGCAAAAAAATTTAGCTAAAAAGAACATAACCTATACTTAACTGTGACCCAATAAATGTCATTTTTTATACTTTTGATCCACTCCGGTTTATTCTCAGGTTTCCAACTAAAGAATCGGGTTCACACCGGGTCCAAAACAGATTTTGAATGTTCGGTTCTTTGAGCACAATCTGTGCCAAATTCTCCATTTAAACGATTTCCACCACTTTTCATATTAAAAAAAAAGTTACTACTACTTAAAATAACCGAATATGGTGAGTGCAGGTTACGGCCCAGGCTGCAAACAGACAGTCAGACCCAATTCGTTTCAGATCCATTTCCTCCTGCAGCCGCTGACCATCGACTGGCCGTTCGGAGGAACTTTGACTTCTGAGAAAAAGCACAGCGGGACTCTGTCCCACACCTCGGTTTTCCCACCTCCGTCCTTTTTCTTCCGCACGCCTGCACACGTCAGCTCCATCAGACACTGTCAGCCTCTGCCTCAGACCTCTTTTCTTTCACATTTCCAACACGCATGAACGCGTCTTCTCCTCTTTAAAACCTCCTCTGTTGTTCTCCTCTCTTCTGTTTTTTTTTCCGCCACCCGTCTGAGGCGGATTAATTCTTCGTCGCGGCGAGATGAGGGCAGGGGGAGGAAATCAATCACGGCCGTTTAGGAAAAAAAAAGAAAAAAAGCCACCGTTCGGTTTTCGGTTTCGGTTAGCCGGTAACCTTTTATTATGATGTATTAAACCGAATAAACACAGCATCAATCCAGCTTCAATTTTTCCCGATACAAAACAGGGCACTTGTGGGAAATCATAATTCATGGTGGGTGGCTAGCTGTATGATAACGTTAGCTAAAGCTAACCTAGCTGGCTAGCTGTATGCTACATGCTAGCATAAAGGCTCAGCTCATGATTCTGACTCTGGAATAAGAAATAATAGTAGATAAAGTGCTGTTGATGCTAATGCAGATGTAGTTTTCTGTTTTTTGTAAACACCTGTATGGCCTTTCACACGTTTGAAATAATATAAACAACATCTATCACACTTTTGACTGCCTTCTTTTAATATACACAGTACGTGTACTTTTACTTATGCTTGTACTTTGGATACTTGAGTAGCCATTTTTGAAATAGAAAAAAAGAAAAAAAGCCACCTCTCGGTTTTCAGTTTCGGTTAGCCGGTAACCTTTTATTATGATGTATTAAACCGAATAAACAGCATCAATCCAGTCTCTATTTTCCCGATACAAAACAGGGCATTGTGGGAAAAGCAGCGGGCTTTGAAGACCACCCTAACACGTGTTGGGGTGAATAACATAATTCAACATGTTGGGTAGCTAGCTGTATGATAACGTTAGCTAAAGCTAACCTAGCTGGCTAGCTGTATGATAACGTTAGCTAAAGCTAACCTAGCTGGCTATCTGTATGATAACGCTAGCTAAAGCTAACCTAGCTGGCTAGCTGTATGCTACATGCTAGCATAAAGGCTCAGCTCAGGATTCTGACTCTGGAATAATAAATAATAGTAGATGAAGTGCTGTTGATGCTAATGCAGATGTAGTTTTCTGTTTTTTGTAAACACCTGTATGGCCTTTCACACGTTTGAAATAATATAA